TAAGCAACATTTACAACAATACTCCACATCACAGCAGAAGACATGACTAAGTAGGGTTGTGTACTGGCAAGAATCTGGTGATACAATCGTATTATTATTCTTCATGTGATGTTTGTCTGTCTGGCTTCTCTATTGTATTTGATTAATTGGCTTTGACCCACATCAGTGAGTTGCCGAAACGCCCTCCTCCATCCACAATCTGCTGCATGAAATTGGAAATGGAGGGGGTTGCCAGATCAGCTGATGACTGTGGCTCTGCTTCAAAGATGTGGCAACTGTTAACAAAATGTTTGAACACCCTCAAAATGAAGATACCATGACTGATTAAACTAATAAATACTTTTATTTATCTGGAAATACATGTCTGCTAAACTGCTCTCCTTTTCACTTATCATCTAAATAAAGACTTTGGAACCTCTTGTCTGGAGGACAGTGGGACCTGAAGGAGACCCAGGCTCCCAGCTGGTGCCCCCACCCCCCACCCAGGCAGAGCTGGCTGGGAGCAGCCTGCATCCTCCAGCCCAGGGCATCGCACACCCTGCGCCTGCCAATTAATCACATTCCTCCCTTCCTCCTCCACTTCCTCCAGTCCTCTCCTTTCCCACCACATGGCCCTTTGTACAGTCCAAGTCACAGCACTACAACACTGAAGCTCCCTATATATTGTACTGACTTCTCTACAAGCCCTACCCCAATATAAATTAATAATGCAAATAGAATACTTTCTGTCATAAAAGATCTATTTATCGTATGGTGCTGTTAGAAAAATACAGTAAAACATCTATATAGACAAATTACCTAAAAGAAAGTACCACAGACAATAAGATCACCTTAAATTCATGGCGCAATACTAAGAAGACTATATACTGTAATCACGGTAAATTCTATTTTAGTCTGTTGATGAGATTAATTAAAATAAGACAAAGTATTACACAAATTTGGCTGTAAACAACTACACTATTTGTCACAAAAGTCCTACCAGGAGTTCCTTGTCAATATTCTTATTTTTAAAAACACTTCTTCATGAAATAAAACCCGACATACACCCTCCTCCATCACTTTGCAATCATCCCAGTCACTCAGTTTAGTTAACCTCCGGGACAACAAACCAAGCGAACAGGAAACAAGCAGCGAGCAACTTGTGAATGAAAGTCGACTAGGACAAAGTGTTTCAATTCAAAAGTTACCTTACCTTTGTCGTTTTTCTCAAATTTTTCCATGTTCCAGGCAAATATTCCGCTCGCACCAGTGACAATAGAGGCAGGGTGGTGGCGCCTGTCAAACACCCAGCAGTGACTGACAGAAGCGGAGGCCAATCATAGGCCGCGTCACAGGAGGCGGGTCTTGTGTTGTTCCCAGCCGTGTGGGACACCTCGCTCAGTTCAGTGCCTTCTGTTTGTCTGCTGCTCTATGACATGCAGCTGAAGATTAAAAATATAACCTCATACAGCAGCAGACTGGCAGATCGGATATATATTTCTCTACTGTTGAATCCATTTACTGTGTTTCAGATCATAGAGCTGGTTGGATTTATTCTGAATTGTGAATCTCTTGTGTAGCCAATAAAGACAGGTTTCTGCTGATGTGTATCTTAAAGCTGAAAACACATCAATGGCCGTGTTTAATCCAATCTGTGTGTAACCTCACATCTTTACTTTACTTTACTTTACTTGCCCCTTGCATGGGGATATGTACATGCACATTGAGAGCCGATGTACCAGAGTCAAATTCCTTGTGTGTCTGACACACCTGGCCAATAAAGCTGATTCCGATTCCGATTCTGATTCTGATTATTCGGCGCTTTGACGATTATGATGCGCTCCTGTCTAGGTGTGTGCACAATGCTCGTGGACTATGCTTGTTATACCCTGGGATGCGCTGCACAGGACATAGAAAGATGACATTGTGACAGTCCACAAAGAGGGCCCGTTCATAGGTCCCTGGGGAGTCGAGGTGTTGCAGGATGTAATGCAGTGCCATGTTCACTGCACCATCCACTGGCCTGTTTGCCCGGTAGGTAAACTGCAGGGAGTCCAGCAGGGTGTCAACGATGTCCTTCAGGTGGGCCAACACCAGTCTGGTACAGGGGCAAGGTGATGCGCAAGACAGGGCCCCTAGACAGACAGCCACACTAACTCCTATGGGCAATTTAGAGCCACCAGTCAACCTAAGCTGCATGTCTTTGGACTTTGGGAGGAAACCCAGGAAGGCACAGGGAGAACATGCAAACCCCACACAGAAATGCTTCGGGTCAGGGATACCTAGAACCTTCTTGCTGAGGCGACAGCGCTAACTACTGCACCACCACGCTGCCCTGGGTGTTCATTACGGCCAAATGTCACCGCAATATAATATAATCAGAGTTGAGTTTAATATTATTACAAGATGGACATCTTTGCAAGTTTGCAAAAAGCCAACTGTAGAAAAATAAAAAAAAAAAAACTCAGACAAAGGGCTCTATTTTATGCAAGAGGGCGCGGTGTTATACTTTCGCCTAAACTCCAAGTGCAAGGCGAATATGGGCGTGTTTAATGGTGTTTTGCATTACCAGTATTACCGGGAGAGGGGGGTGGGGTGTTGGAATATATGGTGATCAGGTGGAGTCGGGGCTAACTTTAGTTATGACCAATCAAACCAGCTCCTCTCATCCCTTTAAAGAGCAGCACGGAAACCTGACTGATTGATGTCACTGATGTCAGGACAGTGAAGTATGAGAGGGAAGATTCTTTCCCTGTGTCTTCTTCTTCTGTCTCCTGTCTCTTTCCAATTCCTAGACTGACAGTAACAAAGTGCTGCACATGAATATTCACTCAGTGGTCTGCTAATATCACTGACCAGCTTTTGTGCAAGGATGAAATAAAGTTTCTGATTCAGCAACCAGCAGCAGTTTTATATTGTAATTTGCTCACAGCTGCATCCAGTGTGTGAAATCTACAGGGGTCTCACATGTAACCTAATAAATGTTCCACTATTTCTAAAATAACACAATAAAATCATATTGTAATCCCTGTGTTTGTGGTCAAACTGATTGTGATCCGCCCGAGCACAGAGCCAGTGGATGTGTCACCCACTTTATCTCCACCTACAGCTGCTATCAAAGCTGATCAAACTGACACAACATAAATCCTCGGGGTAGTAACAAAGATATGTCTGTGTGAAACTTGTAACTTAACTGACAGCAGCCACAGTGAGGTTGTGCTGACTTTACCTGCTGCGTAACAGGCTTAAGGGAGATGTCTACAGGGTGTTTGTTATTTATCTTGGCTCCTGAGCTGCTTTCATATGTTATTATGTGTAATTTATTAACAAGGATTTGGATTCCCAGACACCGGGTGGAGATCACAAATAGATGGAGCGTCCTGACACGCTCCAACACTGTTTGACCATATTCATCTCTACAGTCACACACTGAGAACTAGTTTATATTACTTAAAAATTAGCTTCATGATACACAATAAATTATTCAGTGTGAATTCCAGCAGATCAGTTGTTGATTTAAGAGTTAGTTTTAAGTTGGCGTGGACATTAAAATCCATTCAGGTACCTGATCTCGTGCTTCCCAATCTAGGCGCTTGTCAGGGAAATTGCAAATGCACCCGTGATTGTGATAAGAGGTGGTCTGAGCAGGGGTTATTGTTAATGCTATTTTGGTTCAAAACCAGCACCAAAACTGCACCGTGCTGAATAATCAATGGCCTCAACTTTGCCTCTCCTCTCACCTCAGCCCAAGTATATTCATTCATGGCAAGAAAACATCAAACACACCAACAAAAAGTGCGCTCAAGGAAAACTGCATAAGGACTGTGACTGAGGGGAGGCAGAAACTGCGCTGGCAGGAGAATAGAGCCCAGAGAGATTCAACCACCAACATCCCTTAGATCTCTGATTTTGTTATGGAACATAATGTTTTGCTTTTCACTAAAAACCAAATAATTACAGAAATGAACCATAAATGGAAGGAAAAGCAGACAGTAACTTTCATTAACCTGTTATGACATTCTTCTACATTGAAACATATTTTCATTTCAGCATGCACTCTGTTTTTATGAAGGCCGTATTCAGAATGGAAGCTCACTGTGTCTTTACCCGCTATGTCGAAAACACCACATACTAACGGAGGGAATAAATATTGTTTCTCAATGCAAGTCTTCTACCACAGGCTCTCAGCAGTGTGCGAGGGTCTTCTGATGTTTTCTCTGGGTCAGAGCTCTGTTTGCCTGAAGAGATGAAAGGTCAGTGTGCTGACACAGCTCCCTTTTCTGATGTAGCCTTGCTTGGCCACATTCATGCATCGGACTTCGCGCTCTATTTGAAATTACCGCTCCTATCATCTTTTTGGATGACTGTTCATATCTTTCTTGGCTGTCACCCACATCTGATACCAAGTCCCCAAGTCCCCCACATGTGATGTAGGAAATGATGAAAGATGCACCATTCTTTGAAGTTTTAGTGGAGTCTGAGCCGGAGAGTGGACCCAAGTGAACCAATGGTCCTCTGTTTGCTAAGACAAGGCCGTTTTGAAAGATAGAAGAGGTGACTAAATGTTTAATTGGCTGAGGCTAGTGGGAATTAAAGACATGTTAGATTTTTTGCTATTTAATAACTCAGCATTTGGAACTCTTGGATGTTTGAAACAGATCAGATTAAACACATCAAACTACAGCGGTGGCTGCAAAGTAGAGCCAAAAGTCCATCACTTTTCCTCACAAACTATCACTTTCTTTTTTTATTTAAACTGCTTTTAAAGTGAACAGAGCACAGAAAGTCTCTTTACAGTAGATCCTAGATGAGTGCAGTACAGAAACACAGGCGAGCACACACCTTTTGAGGCACGGTTTGGAGTGGCTGAACTACTGGAACAACGTAACACAGATAAAATGAGACAGTCTGCTTGGTTTCTTAAATGCACCCACACATCTACTGTGAATGCTACGCACCTCACTTGAAGTTTTGACATTCATTTGATAAACCCAAACACTGCAGTCCATAATGACCCTGTATTCTGGATAAAGCACTTTAATAGCAGATGGATATTAGGAAGAAGACATGACACTTTATGACAATAGTTAGTGTGTTACTTCCAGGGGGCACAAATGTAATTTGACACTCAGAATTAAGTTAAAATTTGATATGTCTCTCTCTGCTTGGTGATACTACTCATTCAACACCACACATCAAGATTTCAAAATAAAATCTCTTCCTTAATAATGTAATTAAATAAGCTAACACAAGCTAATGTAAGCATCTGACCTGGGCGTTTCATGTGACATATAGCTGAACCACAAAATAATCAAACCACATTAATGATAATGCTTTGATATATTTCTAATCTGAGGTTAGTTGGCAAACCTCATTTCCCCATCCACTTGCATGCCTGAAGAGTTAAACATCATGGATTGTATACAGACAAATATATCTGGTATATGTCCAGTATAATCTTCACATACATTTAGCAGTATGTTAGTTGGTGAGTTGATAAATCGATGGTTCAGAAAATCAAGCAAAGCTGATGGACTTCAGCTTAAATGTGGAGCTTTAACTGTACACAACATTGCTTTCAAACAACATACATATAGAGTTCAACCTCTAGCTGAAAAGATATAACACAGTTATAGTATTGAGCTTTAAATCAAGCAAGACGTTGTTATGCTTAGGATTAGGTGTTGCTGAAGGTCTGTGACGCATCAGAAATCAGGTTTTCTTTCAGCTTTCTCAAGATTAGTGTAATGAACCTTTCCAGAAGAAAAATAGCTTATAAAAATAATTTCATTTCTTTTTTATATGAGCTTTTGTCACTGATAATGCTGAATGTTTGACACCTTTGCACACCCTAAAACCTTCTGCATTGTATTTTTCCCGCTTCCATCTTTATTCCTCCCTCTGTGCATGCTTCACTGTCATCTTGTGGCCCTGTCCAGACCTGGCTCATCTAACCTGTTGATCTTCAAGAGCCTTGTGTAAGATAAGAGACATCATTCAAATGTATCAGGGTACATTTATCAAATCTGGCAGGTCTTTCCCAGTGTCTCTGACTGAGAAGAGCATGAAGGAAAATGGAAAACAAAAGCATATGATAAGGTGCTTTTTGACAGTTTTTGAAGTAGAAGATCAGAAGCTAAAGTGTAGTTTCCTATCCCTGTCTTTGGCCTTGACATGCTTGAACACTGAGTATGTACAAGTCTGTGGTCTCTCTACTGTCCTGAAGTAATGGCAAGGATGTAAAAAAAACTGGTTTGGAAATGTCAGTCACTGCAGGGAGAACAACTTAAAAAGATGAAGACGGCATGAGAGAGAACAGGCTGGGCAGCAAACAGATGATATGTAGAGGCAGACAAGATGATATACCTTGCAAAGTGAGAACACACTAGCTGTAGATGGAAAAACTCCAGATAAAAAACAGGTGATATGTCAAGATTGACAGAGTAAAAGAAAGCATACATAAACCAGTCAGAACCACAGAGACCTGGAGGAAGGTCTGCATGAGAATTAGAAAAAGCTGTTATTTTTTATAATGGCGTATGAAAGTGGGCAGGAGAAATAGAGGATACAGAAACCACATAGGAGGCGAGGAGCATCAACACGGGCCATGCAAGCACAGCTCCTCATCCTCTTCTGTAAGCTTGTCAGTCAAACGCTCAGACCACATCGCATACAAAAAGCTATAGATGCTGCCTCAGTACTGTGAAACCGTTCCCACATGGAGCGCTTCTCCGTGGCATTACAGGCAGATGGCATGGCGTTTTACAGGTGGAAAGTAGGGGTATCAAGACGGTGCATATATAGAGATTTTAGATGGGCTGCTGTTACTCTCCTGCCTCCCTCCAAAAGGATAGATGCTTCTTGAGATGTTGAGATTGGCACTAAAAAAGGCGCGCCTTCTTCTTCAGGTCATTCTTCTTCCAGAGAGCCAGGCGGTCGAACTGCTCCAGGGTCATGCCAAAAACCTGCTGGAAGTCCTCAGGAGATAGGTGTCTCTGGGGAACAAATCACAGAAAAAAACACATTACCTCGGTGCAAAAGACCAATATTTTATGTAATTTTAAAAAATTCTTTCCTCACCAGAGAGCGTTGGCATTGATCGTTTGTACAAATGGCTTAAAACACCCTACACAAGACAGACATAATGGTTTTTTAGTTAACCTTGGCTGTGCTCCTTATTTACTCCTGGCCAGGGACATCGCTGCTGCACAGTGGTTCCCCCACTGAGGGGAATCATGCCAGGTTTTCCACAACAACAATATCAGTTATAAAGCACCAGAAAACTGTTAGTTGTGTTCAAGGCAACAATTTGTTATTGTTTTTCATTTCTAGCCATCAATACTGACTGAGCATTGCATTTTGACTCTGGCAGGGATGGCCAATCAGATTCTGGGGGTGGCCAGTGCCACCCATGATCATCCCCTTGGCACCGCCCATGGGTGTGCATGCAGCGTTTGTTCGGAACAATTTTGTGGTTGTTCCTCCAAGGCTTTTTTTGGGCTTAGCCTACATTATAAACTGAGAGCTTTGTGTCTTCTTCACTCACAGCTAAAACCTTCCACACCAATGTGCCACTATGTGTGTGAAGTGAACCACTGAGGATGTAAATTACATATATAATCAATATCTCAGACTGATGGGCTTGTCACCGATCAAGCTGAGAACTGGCCAAACGCAGTCTCCAGCTGATCGATCGGTGCATCGTTATTTAAAACCAATATAAATCAATAAGGAATCGTTCCATCAAACCCATTTATTTACAACCAGTGCACTATAATACATAGATTTTATTCCAGATTTTGCAGCTGTACGTTGCTCTGCCACCAATTCAACTCTGTGCTATTGAATTTTCACTGGGCTTCATGATAATGAATAGCGTGTTCTACAGAATCAGAGAAACATGGAGCTCTTTGGCTCAGTTAATTAAAACTTTATTTATTATCTCTGCCTCCAGCCCAGCTTGGCTTTTCTGCTGTATGGTAAATCAGTAGCAGCTTCATACTATCAGATTGGACTCACTTATAAGACATTCATCCAATCCTAAGACCACGACTGTGTTCACCACATAAGCAAGCATTACATTGCCTTCTGTACCGAGGTTTAACACAGCAAATTCAATTCTGTGCCTCAGAAGTTCATCCAAAGTGGACTGCTGTCCAGATCCAGCTCTGGCTCTTACTGCAAACACCCGCTAACTCCTAAATGTCAAAAATATACCATGGAACAAAAACAGTCATGGTATCGATTAAGGCCCAGAACAAAAACATAAACTGCTTTATTGTGAAAAGTTGGCTGCACTGTGCTCAGCTGTTAAGCGTAGTGATAGTAAATTAGAGGCAGACTGTTGCTGTGTAATACCCAATCACCTGGTTTGTATACCACCCAACAGTGGAAGGAATGTGGAGTGATAAGTTTTCATCCTGAGGCAAAATCATCCAGATCCCTTTAATTAATTTTTCACCTGCCATGCTGACAGGTTCATAAAATGATGGTAAAAGGACAAAGCCATCTGTAGTTCATTTTTAAAATGTTACACAGTAAAATTATTTTAACTAATATCATTTGATCATTTTCTTCTAACTTTACTTTAGATTTACTTACTGTTATAGCTTCTTAAACAAATCAAGGATGTGACACTTTTGGCCATACCCCAGTCACTGATGTCACTTAGCGTTTTCATGTGTTTTCTATTTGCTGTCAGTGGTGAAACGCCTGCTGTGACATCACTGATCGGGGAATGTGTGGTTGTGCAACATGCTTCTGGTTCTGATGCTAAGCTAGGCTAAAATAGTCCTAACTGCAGCGCTGCATTTAACTTCTAGACATTTAGTTGCTGCTAAATTGAATTTCTTTTGCATTTCACTGATTTAACTTGGTTTTCTCGCTGCAAACTAGACCATTTGGCCAAAAGTATGCGGACAACTACACATTAAATCCATATATGACTGCAGAACATCATTCCAAAACTGTGGCCATTAATGTGCATGCTAAATGCATGGCAGGCTTTATCACCCAAAGATGTTTAATGCAGTTGAGGTCAGGGCTTTGTACAGGGCCAGTCAAGTTCCTCCACACTCTGAAAACATTATGGACCTGGCTTTGTGCACAGGGGCGTTCTCAAGTTCTAACAGAAAAGGAACAAACCCAAACTGTTTCCACAGCTCTTATTTCTGTAGCATTAAGCGTTCCCCTAAATGAAACTAAGAGCTTCAGTATGTTTCAAAAGAATTAGGTTGTGCAGGATGTTGTCCACCACATCTAAAAGCAAAACTGTTTCAAGCTGCATATGACTACACCTCTAAAATAATTTCAACTAAAACTGCACATCATCACCTTCATGAAAGGAGGATTTAGTGCAGGTCTGTTGTATTAGACTACATTAGTTTTAGTTAGGTGGACCTAAAAACTGGCTGCCAAGTATATTTCTATAAATAAATGTGCACCAAAACATCTGAGGAGAGATACATGCTAATGAACATCCCAAATTCTCCTAGCAAAACCCCTGTAAAACATTTGGCTATCCACCCAAAAAAACATCTGACCAATGTTCTACTATAATTTTTTATGTTTATTTATCTGCCACTAAATGCATTTATTGAAAAAGCTCTAATTACTTGTTCCCCTAAAAGTCAAAGTAACACAATCAAGCTTTCCGTGCTTTATGTGAACCTGATGTCCTTAGTGTCCTGACTGGTAGATGAGGCCCTGACTAAACACTCCTAGTGGAAAGTTATTCTATCTTTTCTTTTTTCTGCTCTCTGTGGACTTGGGCTTAACTCAAACTCTGAGCTGCCCAGACAGACTTCACTACAGCCCTGGAAAAACAGCCCAGATCAAAAGTATACAAAACACACCCGTGTCCACATAACCTTGGCCATAAAGTATGTATACTGTACTCCACCTATCAAACATCCACCCTCACAAAATAAGAGATGGTACTTCTCTAAGTTTTGGCTGAGACTTTAATCCCACCTGGCTTATCTGCCTGGGTGCATGGCCCAAAACACACAATTCTGACATCATTCTTTGAGCCATCAGTTCACATTCTCAGGCTTTTTAATGACCTGTGGATAGAAGAGGGGAAATGACAGGGCAGGTGGAGGGAGACTCAAACTCACCTCCAGTCTGGTGCGATCTACATCTCTGGGAAGCTTTACTTTCACTCTATGTGTCACTGCCAGCATTTCATAAGGGTAGACCTGGTACACACAAAGTAAGCATTAAGGAATTCTAATACAATGTCCAAACCAAGCTGCCAAGAATATGAAAGCATGTTTGCAAAGTATTAAACTCTTACCTTGTACTCTGAGAGGGAAAAGAGAAAGAGAAAGAATTAAGGTGGTGGAACTATGAGTTTTTATTTGAATTGCAGAGCTATTATGAAAGCTACCATAACAGAGCCTGATACTGGAACCAAATCTTTTCAATAATATTGGGTTTCAAAGGCATCAAAGGCCTTATAAATGGTTGGTTGCTTTGTGCACACACACACATGCTGGTATTCTCTCAACTCACTCTTCACTTCAGATATAACCAGGACTGTACGGACAAACACACAAACGCACACACACACACACACACACACACACTTGTTAACATAGAGCAATAATTCTGCAACTGCTGTTACCGCCAGTCATTGAGCTGCACAGCTCAATGCACAGCTCTGCATGCTTATTATCTTGACTTAGAGGAAATGCCTTTTCACATTTTGTAGTTTAAGATTTTAGCTGATATTGTTCTTTTGGGGGGGTGAGTCAGCCACTCTTTGCAACAGAGAGTTGTGAAGGAAGAGGTTTTTCAAGAATGCTGGGTTCAGGAAGTCCTGTTCATTGTCAGCATAGGCCCAAATTGATGTTAGTCCACACCCGAAGCTTGGTTGGACATGAAACTCTCTGGGTTGAGTCATCAGTACAAAAAGCAGTCAACAGTGTTAGAAACTATCCAATTCTGTGATTATAAAGGTAAAAGAACAAAGCTGTGTGTATGAAAACTAGTGAAGTTAAAGCTGCATTAACTGAGATTTAGCACAGATTTAGATAAATCAAGTAAAAAATTATTTAGAAGTGTTTTCTCCCTGGTTGTAATTTGGAGTCATTCCAACAAACTGCAATATAAGTGTTTTGCTGCCAAATCAGTGGAAACCAGCATGTTTTCCTGGGTTAGCAAATGAAGTAATTTTGCTAATTTTTGCTTGGTTTTACTCCAGTTTATGTCGGACATAACACTGTAGTCCATGTAGCATTTTAGTGAGAAGCTGTTAAAATGTACACCATTAACACAACTAGAGAAATGAAGAGTTTGTTCAACTATGAAAGTGTAACAGGAAATTTCTCTTGTTTAACATACAGCTCACGGTTTTGTGTGTCAAGTATGTAACAGTGAACATGATGCGATAGTGGCAGGAACATTAGTACTGTATCAATATTACTGGGATAAAAACATCCCTGTGTATAATTTACTTGTGTTACTGCAGATACACAGATACATCTGCTACAAACAACGTTAGACATACGTATGCATATCACTAAAATGTAAACCTCTTTATTTGACATTGTGTCACAGCAATGTCACTGAAAACTCCACAGACTCTATGGGCTCTATAGTCCATATATGTTGGTTCTGGAGCTGGTTATTACTGCTGTGCCGCCTGACTGCCACAGTGGTCTCTGGCTATAATGACCATATACTGTATGACCTAGTTTCAGAGACAGGGCAGGAGAGGTGAAGAGGAGTGGCGGGAGAAGAGGAGGGGATGCTGCTGGAGTTTGTTCTGACTCTCACTTTGCCCTTAATGGTTGAAAATTAGAGGGAGAAGTTAGTTAATGCAGCTTTAATTTTACCCACTAAGTAGCATTTTGATAAGAAATGTCAACTTACCAAGCTTAATAAAATATGACTGAACAACTTTAATGTTTAAAGTCAGCATTTCAACCTCAGGTACTGTTTCATTTCAAATCCAAAGTGCTGGAATTGTTACCATCAAAATGTCTGCAGACTGCACTGTATTTATTTTAGACATTTACAACAGCTGATGCATCTATCAACAGTGCAACACAAATCAGTAACATTAAGAACAAACATGAAGTGATGATAAACAGCTTCAAGTTCAGTTTCATTCTCACCTCTCATGCCTCCCCAGCTCTGGGAGTCTGGGTCCATCTCATCCTCCACCATCTCAGTAGCCTGCAGCATCACACATACACACAAACAGACGCACAGTTAGACCATCGTTCAGATGTCCTACTTTATGTTGCCAAGAATAATCCTGGTCTCTATCAAAGCTAGGATTGATATAAAAGCCTTTCAGTCACTAAATTTGCCTTTGGTTTGCTCACATTCTTTCAGGGTGACCCAATAGGATGTGAGCGTGACACCTCTCTGATAGTGAGCTTACATCATTTAGCTTGGAAAGACTTAAAGGCACCTGAGGAAAGAAGGGAACAATTGTATCTGAAAGCATGTGCTGTTTCTCCAATAATAATGTTAATATTGCTTGAGGACAGCTACATAAAACTCTGAAAAGTGTCATCAAAAGTCAAGAGTTTGCTTTAATACATCTTTGAGTTTTAGGGTTTAGGTCCAGCTGAAATCACATTTCTCCTTCAATCCATGTCTCTGGGCGGGTGGGCTGTTGCTGTGTTTGATTGCCAGCTGTTCTAGCAGTGGCAATGAAATATGATATACAGTAAACTCACTGCTAATTATAGCTAAGAAGCTCTATACAGACGGTTTTGTCAGTAAGATTAAAGACACACACAACTGAGCATTTATATAGACCAAACTGTACATTTGCACACAGATTTTTAAGATGTTTAATCTTGTTGATAGCACTGCAGCCTCCCTGTGTAATACACTTGATACTGTTGCCCCTCTGAAAAAGAAGGCAGTGAAACGGAGGAGGCCCCATGGTACAGCTCGCAGCTCCGCTCCCTAAAGCAGGCATCACAAAAACTGGAAAGGAGGTGGCACTCCACCAAGTCAGAGAGAGTTTTTCCTAGCCTGGAAAGATAGTTTAATAACAAAGTCTTTCATAGTGCCAGAACTGCATATTATTCATCACTAAAACTGGAAAATAAGAACAACCCCAGGTTTCTTTTCAGCTCTGTAGCCAGGCTGACAAAGAGCCACAGTGCTGTTGAGCTTAATATTCCCTTAGACCTTAGTAGTAATTACGTCATGAGCTTCTTTACAAATATATTCACAACTGTTAGAGGAAAAAATTAATCAAATCCTTCCCACAACTCTTACGGATGTGTCATCAAGTACAGTGGCTTTAGAAACATCTGTAAGACCTCATTTATACTTGGACTGCTTCTCTCCCATAGATCTCTCTGAGTTTACCTCAACAATTGCTTTATCTAAATCATCAACATGTCTCTTAGACCCCATCCTGAGCAGGATGCTCAAAGACGTTTTACCTGTTTTAATCATGGGAGATTTTCCTCCCCACTGTTGCCAAGTGCTTGCTCAGGGTGATTTGTTGGGTTCTTCCTCTGTAGTAATAATAATAATAATAATAACAATAACAATAATAAGGTCTACACTTTACTTTGCAAAGTGTCCTGAGATTACTTTTATTGTGATATGGCGCTATACAAATACAGCTGACTAGCCTACTATATCATCTTAGCCCATTTCCCACAGTGAATGTT